TAGAAAATGGAAATTTATAACAGTCATAGAAGATCAATAAAATTCAAAACTGGTTCTTTGAAAAGATATAAAATTAAATCCCTGGTTAGGCTCACTATGAGGGGGAAAAAAGAGAGAGAGAGAGAGAGAGAGAGGGGGGGAAAACCCTAACAGGATGAGAAATGATGAGACCCAAATTTATCAACCAAACAATAGGTGCCTGAAGAACAAAACAGCTGTCAAAATCCAATGGATCTATCCCTTATAATAAATATCAAGATGAAGCCAAAACTGGACCTGAGACATATTTTCTCTATCTCTATCCCCTCCCTCAATTCTCATTCTCTCTCTCTCTCTCTCTCTCTCTCTCTCTCACTGTTACTCTCCTCATATTTCTCTAGGTTTTTTACTTCACACACATACACATTGAACTTATTAAAAGGATCATGAATATTTCCGAACAGAAATGAAGAGTATGGTACATGATATAAAAATTGGGCAGATGTGAAAGCAGAGTAACAGCAGGTGAGAAAAAAAAAAACCAGGAAGTCTTAGAGGAGATGCATGAAAACTTCAGAAGACAACAGACGACAGAAAAACAGTCTGAAAAGAAATGAACAGCATACCAGATAAGTATGGGATGAGCTCGAGAGGAACAATATAGAATCTTTGAAGAACATGACGGCAAATGTGATGAAGAAATAATAGGTAAAGATAGCAATCATAAGAATTTCCCAGAGCTGAGGAATCCAAGCAACCAGATCCAAGCGGCCCTAAGGTGAAAATAGACTCAAACTAAAAAACTCCAAGACATACTGTGTGCAAAATGACAAAAGCCAAAGACAAAATAATGAAAGATCAAAAAAGCATGATCAAAATAGGAACTTACAAAGTAAAGCCTATAAAATTCACAGTGTATCAAATGAGAAGCTATGAACCAGAAGAGAATGGAGAGATACAGTACAAACATGGAATGAAACGTACACCTCGTGGAGAACAGCTTAGGAAATTGATAGCCTTGAAATCACTTTTGTGAGCAGTGTTAAAGTACCTTCTTTAAAAGATGAGACACGGGAGGAATACTGGGGATATTGGTGGTTGAAATGCTCACTGGTGGAGGGAATGGGTGTTCAATCATTGTATGACTGAAACTTCAATCACGAAAGCTTTGTAGTAGATAAAAGACCAAACATGATGGCCTCTCATTTCCTATATTGCAAACCATAATGCCCATAAGTAGAGAGAGAGTAAGAGGGAAACTGTCTGCCAAAGAGGCAGGGGGATGGGAGGGTGTGGGGGAGGAGGAGGAATACTGGGGACATTGGTGGTGGAAAATGTACACTGGTGGAGGGATGGGCGTTCTATCATTGTATGGCTGAAACTCAAACATTATTATAACTATAACTCTTGGTGATACAATAAAAAAATAAAAATAAAAGCTTTGTAACTGTATCTCATGGTGATTCAATTAAATAAACAAATTTTTGAAAAACAGATGAGACATACTTCTCAGCACTTGGCACTGAATATGATATTTACTCAAGATGCTTATAGCTGTCCTCCACTACATTAAAAAAAGGTTTGTTTACTCCTGTCTCACTACAAGATTTTATGTTTTCAATAATGAGTGGACATTACATTTATAGTGATGGTCTATGTCTAATCAGGTTTTATTTTAAAATATCCAGAGATTTTTATTTTAATTTTTTATTAATGTAGATATTTAGGCACGATCTATAATGTTTTCGAATATAAAAACAATTATTTCCTTTCTTACTCGATAGCACAGCAGGTAGGGCATTTGCCTTGCACGCAGCTGACCTGGGTTTGATTCCTCCGCCCCTCTCGGAGAGCCCTGCAAGCTACCGAGAGTATCTCGCCTGCATGGCAGAGCCTGGCAAGCTCCCAGTGGAGTTTTCAGTATGTCAAAAACAGTAACAACAAGTCTCACAATGGACATTACTGGTGCCCGCTTGAGCAAATTGATGACAGTGCGACAGTGCTACTTGCCTAACATATACTTTTATACTTTTATAGGCCAATATAGATTTTCCCTTAAAATTTTACATTTGTAGGATTTTATTTAATGTAAATTCTAAACTATTAGCACAGAATTATTCATAATATTAGTTTTTAAATTTATATATTTGTTTTTTATTTTTGAAGATTTTTTAAAATCTTTTTTATCAGTTTTTGAAAAAAGAATTACCAACTTATCACGGATTTACAGTTTTGCAGAATTTCAGAAGTTTAGCTCTATTCATCACCTGCAAAATAAATTTGTTTTTAAGAAGATCTCTCACATGTGGGTTAAAAAAGAAACATAGTAAGGGAACAATAACTGATCAAAGTCAATGGAAGGGGAGATTTTGTCTGCAGAACTACACTTTCATGCAAGGGGGCTTGGGAAGAGTCCCTGGGAAACTGGTGGTAGGAAGTGGGCTCTCTGGTGATGGGTATGGTTTGGGAATGCTAGTACATGAAAAGTATAATTAACAGTATTGTAAATCACAGTCTCTCAGTAAAAATCACTTTTAAAAAAATGAGCGAGTAAAGACTAACCAGTTATGAGTTGAGACTAGATGCCAAGACCTGAAAAGATGAACAAGTATCCACTGGACTTGAGGTCATTCTCACATGCAGGATATTTACAAACAACAGCATTTGAGGAAGGTGGGGTCTTGGGCCATACCCATTGATACTCCAGCGCAATTTCTGGCTCTCAGGTGACCCCTCCCAAAGTGCTCAGGAAACCATATGTGGAGTCAGGGATCCCACCAGGGTTGACTGCATAGAAAACAAGTGCCTTCACCCCGGCACTCCTCTCTCCAACACTTAAACTCTGACCTTCTATAAAAAGTTGGTGATTCCTTTTTATATCTTTTTCTATTACTATATTCAACTTTATTAAGACCCTATTATTCATTTGTAAAAGGTGCTTATTCCCCTTACTAGGCTGTAAGTTGATTGAGGATAGGAATTATTAAGCATAGGAGAGAAATAAATGATGATTTGATCTTCCTGGCAGTGGTGACCTTCCCCTGAAAACATCTTTCCAAAGACTCTCCTTCCCCTTTTCTGCAGGGGAGCCACGGCAGCCACGTAGCAATGCCTGCTCAGAGCCCCAGCCCCACTTCCTACCCAAGAACTGTCCAGCATGCTCGAGACTCATGCCCATCTATAGCCCCCATCTAGTGAAAAACAAGGGAAATGAGCTGTTCTTTAAACAATAAATAGGTATTTAAGTACACATTAAAAAAAAAATGTTTGACAATTACTGCACCTTAAACAAAAAACATGCCCGCACCCTCAATTTGTTTTTTTTATTTTATTTTTATAAGGTTGTTCACAGTGATTTACTGCATTCAATATTCTTACATAAAATCCACCACCATTACACCTTATAAAAATATTTTGGATTTAGGGGCTGGAGCAATAGCACAGCGGGTAGGGCGTTTGCCTTGCACGCAGCCAACCCGGATTCGATTCCTAGCATCCCATATGGTCCCCTGAGCACTGCCAGGAGTAATTCTTGAGTGCAGAGCCAGGAGTAACCCCTGTGCATCGCCGGTGTGACCCAAAAAGCAAAAAAAAAAAAATTGCATTTATAACCATAATTGGGCTGGAGCGATAGCACAGCAAATAGGGCGTTTGCCTTGCAAGTAGCAAACATGGCCGACCCGAGTTTGATTCCTCTGCCCCTCTCAGAGTGCCTGACAAGCTACCGAGAGTATCTTGCCTGCACGGTAAAGCTGACAAGCTACCCGTGACCTCTTCGATATGCCAAACACAGCAACAATTATCACAATGGAGACGTTACTGGGCCTGCTCGAGTAAATCGATGAACAACGGGAGGACAGTGACCGTGACAGTGACCACCATTATTTTGGATTTTCCCACCACCACCTAAGTCTGCCCCAAAGGCAGATCCTAAATTAAAAATTTATTTATTTCGTATTGATTGTGAAGAGTAATCTGCTAAAAATGATCCAAAAACGGTTTCCTTAGAGGAAAGTCTATGAAGAATGTTGTATCTAATCTTGGAACCATTAAGCCCTTTTATAAACAATTACTAACATATTGTTACAAGTTGAGCCTTTTGTGCTTATTATATGCATTTATAAATAAATATATATATGTATATTGTTCAAGATCAGTTGCCTTCTACTTTACACCCCATCAAATGCAGTGTGCTACTCTTGGTACCTCAGTGGCATAGAGTATGGGATGTCACAGTCCAGGATTTCTAAAATTTTAAATAGGGTGATACAACTGGAGTTAAATGCCTCCCTGCAGCTGTTGCTCTCTCCTGAGATTTATTTGTGAGTTTCTGGATCATGGCCATTAATGAGCATTTTTGGCACCCAGAGGCAGTTCGTGGACATGACTGCCAGGCCCCAAAAGAACAGTGAGATGGTGGGAGGTGGCCCATTCTCCATTCCATGTGAGTTTGGAGATTTTGGTCACAAAACCTGCATGCCTGAGTTTTTCAGCAGATTCATTCTCAGGTGTGTGTGGAGGTGGGGCTCATCCCAAGCCTGTAGAAATCAGCGGTAATTGGGTTCTGGAGGTTTTAGGCTGCCAGGGCTCTTCAGGGGTGGATGATGGGCTCACATGTCCCCCTCTACCACCCTCAATTTCAAGATAAAATGAAAATGCCTCTCACAAAGAGGTCAGGATGACAAACTAATTAAGGATTATTTGAGATCAATATAAAGAAATAAAACCCCAAAGAGCATATATTAGATACTTATTTGTAATGTGTCAACTATATAGCAACACTGTCAATACAGTAAAATGAAAGTAAATTCTATGCAAAAAAAAATACTCTAAAATTCTAAGACTCTAACCAAAACTTTGATTTTCAAAGGTCCTTTATGAATGGTAACAGCTTCACAGTCTGATAGTATTTTGCTGTAAGAACAATATGAATTTCGGTTCATTTAAATTCCTAAGCTAACTTGAGTAAGGAGAGTTATTTAGACCACAAGTCTAAACATTTGCCGCTACCAGGCACATACCTGCATTTATGAAGAAATGGGGAGAATCTCCATGTATACCCACGATGCCTGGTCCCAGGGCATTAGACAGGGTATTTACAAAGGCAAATACTCCACTCATGATTCCAAAGCCCAAGCCAGAAACTAAGAGGAAGAAAAACATTGTTAAATCCTTTCATGCTATGATTTCTCTTAAAATCAAAATTCAAAGACTAAGTGGTAGTATTTTGTTGAAAGGGAAGAATATACATGTTGTTAGAGAAAAAGTAGAAAATGGGCCCAGAAAAGTGGCTAATTGATACTGAGGGAAAAAGATCCAGGCAAGAGAAAGGAAATAAAAGAGGAGAAAAGAAATAATAAAACGGACATAAAAGAAATTTTAAAAAGGGACATAAAAAGAAGACCCAGAAGTATTGTAACATTGTATGACTGAAACCCAATAATAAACAACTTTGTAAATGTGTATCTCATGGTGATTCAATTTTTAAAAAATAAAAATAAAATTTAAAAAACACACAGAAAGGCAGTAAGCAAGACAAAGAGATAAGGCACCAACACTCTGGCGTTGTTTTATAATATAGCCTGTAGAATTCCATGTGATGGCTTAGCACTGGAACTATGTTTGAAGGGTGTCAGTGTGTTCGAGGTGTGCTTGAGTCAAAGTGGGATAACTCATTTGAAGAATTCAGCTTTAGGACCAGGAATGTAACTAGTGGTAAAGCAATGTGTGAGGCTCTGGGTTTGATTCCCAAAACTGCAAAGAAAATGTTTTGTTTTGTTTTTAATCCATCTTTAAAATGTTTTCTTTTTAAATCTAAAAATGTTTATAACCTCATTCTCAAAAGAAAAATATTCAGAGGTATTAATTATAGTCATATAAAAAGTCCTCCTAGTACAACCAAAATCATGGTAACCACCCAGAAAGTAATAAAAACACCACTTAAGAGTACAGACAAGTTTTTCTCAAAGTGGGCACCTTTAACTCCCTGAGGATGCTGGAATGCTCCAAAAGGATAATGGTAGCCTCAGGTAAAATTAGGAGAGTGCTTTCTTTTTGCTAAGAGAAGGAAGATGCTGAGTAGGTTTCTTTCTTGTTTTTGTTTTATTTTGCTTTATTTCTGAAAAGGGGGCAATAGCACAGGGGTAGGGCATTTGCCTTGAGTGCAGCCAGCCCAGCCGAGCTGGGTTCGATTCCTCCATCCCTCTTGGAGAGCCTGGCAAGCTACGGAGAGTATCTCGCCCACACGGCAAAGCCTGGCAAGCCACCCGTGATGTATTCGATATGCCAAACACAGTAACAAGCCTCACAATGGAGACGTTACTGGGCCCGCTCGAGCAAATCGATGAACAATGGGAGGACAGTGACAGTGACAAGCCAAATAAACCTTTGCGTAGACATATTCACAAAGACCTCACTTTCAAAACCAGATAATAGTTAACGGGCACACAAATAATGGTTGCCCGCAATCACTTCTCTTTCCAAAAAGGAAGGTCCAGTAAAGCTGGAAAAATAAATAATGTGCAGTAGACCAAAACAGTGATAAAATGATACTTGAAATCTACAGATATATTAAAATACATATATATTTTTCTATGTATTTTATAACCTTTCCACACACACGGTCAAAGTCGGCCAGCATTTGTGCCGCTTGGCTGATGTTTGGTGTTATTAAAACAATGTCATCAGCAAAGCGGAAGTGGTGTAATTGCCGACCATCTATCTTCACTCCCATTGCTTCCCATTCCAGTCGTCGCATGATGTTCTCGAGGGTGGCACTGAAGAGTTTCGGTGAAATGGTATCACCCTGCCGCACCCCTCTCTTGACATCAACGATCACTTCTTTGTAGAATGGTGAGATCCTGGTAGTGAATCCGCAATATAGCTCACGGAGGATCTTGATGTATTGGGCTTGAATGCCCTGATTGGCTAGGGCTTCAATGACCGCTTCCGTCTCAACAGAATCAAAGGCCTTCTTTAAATCAATGAACATTAACAGAGAGGCATCTTGAACTCCCGAGAAACCTCAATGAGTTTGGTTATTGTGTGGATATGGTCGATGGTGCTGAATCCTTTGCGGAACCCGGCTTGCTCGCATGGTTGTCCTTCATCTAGTGTTCTGCCAATCCTATTTAGGATGACTCGAGTGAACAACTTGTAGATGACAGACAAAAGGCAGATCTGGCGATAGTTGCCAATGTCATGGATGTCTCCCTTCTTGAACAGTAGTACGGTCCTGCTGGTTTTCCATTGGGACGGAACCTTGCATTCAGACAGGTAGAGAGTGAAGAGCCAAGCCAGTGTATTGATGAGTACTGATGGCAGGTTCTTCAGGTGTTCAGGTCTGACCTTGTCTGGGCCGGGTGCTGTTTGTTTCTTTACCGAAGAAATGGCGTGTAGGATTTCGGAAGGGAGAACGTTGGGAACGACATATCCATCCTGTGGAATTTGGTATGTCGGCAAGTGGACATGGCTATCGAAGAGATTTGAGTAGAAGTCATGGATAATCTCCATTGCCATTCTGGAGGATGTGATGGATCCATCAGGATGTCGGAGGGCAGTCATCTTGGTCTTGTAGTTGGCGAAGGACAGGTGGGCGTAACAAATACTTTTCCCAGCTTCTGCCGCATCTACCAGTACTTCTGCTCTTCTCTCTTTGAGGTCTTCCTTGATCGCATCTCTGCACTGCTTTGCTTGCTCGGACGTTAGCTTGCGGTTGCCTGAGGCATGCGCCAAACCACGCTGGCGAATTAGCTCAAGAGTTTTCGAAGACAGGCGTTTTTTTGTGGCTATCTCTCTCTTGGCGTTCCTCGCACATTCATGGAGGTGCTGAACCAGTCGATCGTATTCCTCGTCAATGTTGTCAACAATGGCATCTTCCCATGTTGCCGCAATAGTGCCAAAGAGTTCCCAGTTGGTGGTCATTCTGGGAGTTCTCTTTTTGAACTTTGCAGCCCTCTCTCCCCGCTCTGTGAAGTAGAATTTTGCACCAAGGAGCCAAGCGGCACAAATGCTGGCCGACTTTGACTGTGAGTGTGGAAAGGTAGGATTACAGCTGAATCTTACAAAGACAATGTTTATGAGAAACAGCCTTGTTCCTGATGCCCCATTTGCTCTCAATGGAACGACCATCTCTGAATGCAACAGCTATGTGTACCTAGGTCGAGAAGTCAACATGACAAATGACCTGGCACCCTAGCTGCGCAGGAGGAAGAGAGTGGCTTGGAACGCCTTCAAGAACGTCGAAGAAATAGCTAAGAGGACGAAGAACCTCCGTTTCCAGGCACATCTCTTTGATTCCACTGTTCTTCCTGCATTAACATATGCCTCAGAGACCTGGGCCCTATGCAAACAGGATGAGAACACTATTCGGGTCTCCCAAAGAGGAATTGAAAGAGCTATGCCTGGAATATCACGTTTCACTCAAATGAGAGAAAAAAATCCTGAGTTCTGACATCCATCGAAGATCAAGAATCAGGGACGCTGTCTCATTTGCCAAGGTGTCAAAACTCAGATGGGCTGGTCACGTAATGAGATTTAAAGACGACCGCTGGACTAGAGCTGTTACTGACTGGATTCCACGGGATGTCAAGAGACAGCGTGGCCGCCCACCTACCAGATGGTCAGACTTCTTCGTGAAGATCATGAACGATCGGTTTGAGGCTCTTCATGTTCCCAGAGCGAACAGATGCCATTGGGCTACACTAGCACGCGACAGGGACAAATGGAGACGTTACTGGCACCCGCTCGAGCAAATCGACGACTAACGGGAAGTTAAGTGATTAAGTGATTTTATAAAGGCTTTAGGTCAAATCAAATCTGGCACTTTTCTTAATAAGACCATTACAATTCGAACTCACCATAGGCCAGCAACCTCATGGAAGGTGCGGACTCTTCCGTGTTTAAATTCTTCAGACCCTCATTGGCTTTCCTAAAATAAAAATCACACAACTTTCTTAAGTAAGATATCAAGAAAACACACAAAATACTTTCAAATCTTACTGAGATCTTACAAAGACATGTTCTCAATTAATACTTGAAATTTAAAATTCATTTAAACAATAACCCAATAAATTTTCAATTAATTTCAACCAAAGTTTCCGTCAATTTTTTTGTTGTTGTATTTTCGTTTGTTTTGGTTTGGGGACCACACCAGGCTGTACACAAGGGGCCTTATGCAATGCTGGGAAATTAAACCAGGTTGACCACATGCAAGGCAAGCGTCTTACCCACTATACTATCTCTGGCCCTTCAATTTTAATTTTTGATCTTACATAACAGAGAGAAAACAATATAAAAGTAAAGTCATCAAAGATTGACTTCAATAATATTTTCATTACTTTCTGAGTTCAGTAAATATTTAATTCAACAGCTTAATTTTTCTTCTTCCCAAAGTCCTAAATCTTCATCACTTCCTTTATGAGCATTTTGTCATATCTTCTGCCTAGATTATATTAATTATACCACTACACCTTCTACTTTGTAGAATATAAATTGTAATCATCTTTCAAAGTCTAGTTCAGGAAGCAATTTCCTAATTGCTCTTCCCAACATTGGTATTCACTAATCTCTCCTTACCCTCTACAATACTGTCAGAACAAATTCCCATACACTTAATCACATTCTCATACACCTAATCAGGATCTCCCGATTCCAAAATACAAGATTTCTAATCTCTCAAGAAGGTTTCATAGGAGAAATAAACACAGAGACTAAGAGGCTATCCCCAGAAAAAAAGAAATAAATGATTAGTGGAATAAAACAATAAAATGCTGCTCAATAAATAATCTCTCAAGCGATCATATATGTGATAATTCTGTGGATAATTTTAAAACTTACCATGAATCCCTACAGCTGTGTCAGAATACTAGGGTGGCCGGTCAGCTATATGACTATCATGACTGACAACTGTCAACCATCTTCAATAATGATACTAACACATAGCATACTTAAATATTCACTATTAACAATAGATATCTTCAATGCATCCCTGTGGACATTTAACTGTCTCTGATATCTGTTTGCTGCTCTTTAATATTTCCAAGATCTTATGAAAACTCCATTTTTAAACTTTTTCTAATATATGACTTATGCTTCTAGACAAAAGAATCCTGGTTTCAACTTGTGATTTAAATAGCTTTGTTATTAAATTTCGTATCTGTTATTAAAAACAAGGAAAAATACAGAAGGCATAGACATAGACAAGAAGAAAGGATGAGAAGTTCATTAGTATATAAGAGACACAGCTGCAAAAATAACTTTACTTCAGTGATCTCATCTACAGAAAAGGTTTGACATTTGTCATTCTATCAATTTTTTCTACTTAACCAAAGACATCTTAAAGATTTAAGACTGCCTAGGGTAAAAAAAAGTTTCAAGGTTCGGGCTGCACTTCAAATCCTTTGTTTTACAGGAGACTACAGATAACCTTTCTCACCTAAGAAGGGAACTCAACACCCCACCACAGAGTTTTTTGTTTTTGAAGTTTGTGGTCCAAGGGATCAAACCCAGGGCCTTACATTTGTAAAATAAATAATCAAACACTGGACCACTGAACTACAATCCTAATTTATTTGTTATTGCTGTTTTAGGGCCACAGCTGTCAGTACTCAGGGGAGGGCTATTACTGGCTCTGTGCTTAGGAGTGATCCCTGACAGTGCTCCGGTGCCAAAAGGCAGTGCTGGGGATTGAACTGAGGTTGGCTATATGCAAGGCAAGTGCCTCTGTACTATCTCTCCGGTCTCCCTCAACATTTTTAATGTATTTCTGTTATAATCAGGTAAATCTCATGAAATATCACAAAAATGAACCATTTCCCCAATATAGTCAAAATAATAGTAGTTATAATCTCTGTAAGAAATTATCTTGAGATCATGCCCAACTGAATCAGCTAATCACTGGCTGAATAAATAGCAGTACTCCTACATAAAAAAAAAAAAAATTTTCTTGAGAGCTGGAGTGATAGTATAGCAGGTAGGACACTTGCCTTGCACGCAGCCAACCTAAGGTTGATACCTTGCACCCTATATAGTCCCCAGAGCCCCTCCAGAAATAATTTCTGAGCATAAAGTCAAGAGTAAGTCCTGAACACCAACAGGTGTGGCTCAAAAACAGAGGGGAAAAAGAGAGAGGAGAAAGGAGGGGAGGGGAGGGGAGGGGAAGGGAGGGGAGGGGAGGGGAAGGGAGGGGAGGGGAGGGAAGGGAAGGGGAGGGAAGGGAAGGGAAGGGAAGGGAAGGGAAGGGAAGGGAAGGGAAGGGAAGGGAAGGGAAGGGAAGGGAAGGGAAGGGAAGGGAAGGGAAAGTCAAGAGTAAGTCCTGAACACCAACAGGTGTGGCTCAAAAACAGAGGGGAAAAAGAGAGAGGAGAAAGGAGGGGAGAGGAGGGGAGGGGAGGGGAGGGGAGGGGAGGGGAGGGAAGGGAAGGGAAGGGAAGGGAAGGGAAGGGAAGGGAAGGGAAGGGAAGAAGAGAAGATCTTGGGGGGTCAGATATGTGGCTCAGTGGTTAAGCGCCTGCCTTGCATGCATGAGGCCACTACACTAGTTCATGCCCAATGCTGCCCACCCATTTCCCAGAGAATCCCAGGCACTGCCATTGTGATCCCTGGAGCCACAACTGTGTAATCCCCAGGAAGCACCAGAACCAAGTGTGTGGGACTCCAAGCACTGCAACAATGACAATGCCAAAACAGTGGGAGAAAAAGAGTGATTGCAGGTATTTAGCAAAGAGAAGATCATACAAATTCTAAACTGGGATAGTTTTTGTGGCTTCACTATTTCCCCCGTTTTCTCCTCTGATGTAGAATGTACTTTCCTGTTCATGCCTTTCACACGGTCTCCCTTCCACTACACTGCCAACTCCATTAATTCAAAAACCTCTCATTTTGGTTTTGATTCTCTCAACTTAGAGAAAAAGTGATAAAAAAATGTTTGCATATGCAGACATTTTTCCAATTTTTTTAAATTAAGGTAATATTGTTACTGTGTCTGGCATATCCAATACTCTCGGTAGCTTGCCGGGCTCTCCGAGAGGGGCGGAGGAATCGAACTCGGGTCGGCCATGTTGGCCGCGTGTAAGGCGAACGCCCTACCCGCTGTGCTATCGCTCCAGCCCTGCGATAGCACAGTGGGTAGGGCGTTCGCCTTACACGCGGCCAACATGGCCGACCCGAGTTCGATTCCTCCGCCCCTCTCGGAGAGCCCGGCAAGCTACCGAGAGTATTCGATATGCCAGACACAGTAACAACAAAGTCTCCAATGGAGACGTTACTGGGCCCGCTCGAGCAAATCGAGGATCAACGGGAGGGCCTTTACCTTTACCTTTAAGGTAATATTAAGATAATATTGGGTTGGAGCGATAGTATAGTGGGTAGGGCGTTTGCCTTGCACATGGCTGACCCAAGTTTAATTCCTCCGTCCCTCTTGGAGAGCCTGGCAAGCCACCTGTGGCATGTTTAATATGCCAAAAACAGTAACAACAAGTCTCACAATGGAGACGTTACTGGTGCTCACTCGAGCAAATCAATGAACAACGGGAGGACAGTGCTATAGTGCCAAGAAAATATTAGTCAATGAGAGTATAAACATTCATGTTTCAAGGCTACAGAATTACAACCACCAAAGACTCAATACCCCTCTCCCATGGTCCAGTGGACTCTTTCCAGCTTAGCCAACTTTTATCTTTCAGGTTTTAAGAGTTAATTTCAGCCATATGTCAAGAAACACTTATCTAGTTTTCTATAAAATGACACTATTCACAAATATTTTTGAGTAGTTGTGGCAGAATTGTTTAATACAAATCCAAACAAATCCAATCCAGCAAATTTAGGATTTATGTGTGTGTAAATAACTGATTTTTTTAAAAAATACTTCTAAATGTTATAAGCCTTTATTGAACAGGAGATTATTATTATTATGGTTTAGATAAAAAAAAGAAAATATTCAAATTAACATTTATACTCTTTTTTATTTGTTTTGATTTTATTTGGAGGCCATACCTGGCAGTGTTTGGGGCTCACTCTTGGATCTGTGCTCAGGGGACCATATGGGGTTCTGGGGATAGAACCCAAGACTACTGTGTGCAAGGCAGGAAAACTTCCTGCTATACATGTGAATGGCTCCATAGTCTTTATACTCTTATTTAAGATTTTTTTCCTAGTTGAAAAAGGCAGTGAAATCACAATTCATTCTAAGGGCGATTTAGAGAAAAATATTAGGCTAAGAGTGAACCTTGCCTACCAGTGACTTAGCTGGGTGACACTATCCATATTGCCATGGCAGGTACTAAAACAATAGTACATTTTGGCTAGAAGACTACAATAGTCAGAAGAGCATGCCAGCAATGTTAAAGAAACCCAGGAGATGAGGAAAACAGACCAAGCTTGTATTATGATGTAATAATACAGTCCAAATTCTGGGAGAAATTATTTGGTTATGTATTTCAGAACTCATCTTAAAAGAAAGAAGTAGTTGATATTTAAATTTGGTATACTGTAATTATAGAGAAAGCATTTCTCTATGAATTATAAGTTTTATCTAATTTTGATCTGAAAGAATTGTATAGACTTTCTAATTACCTTTTCTTCAATTCAGATTAGCCATTTTCCTATCTAGCCCTGCATGTACGGAAGCCTTCTACATTGATGCTAAAAATGATCCCTGCAGAGAACTCAAGCAGTTAGAGAAAGAAATGAATTCATAGTCTCATCTTAAAAGACAGTTAAAAATTTTTGAAAGCTGGGAGATGACTTGTGCCTGGCAATCCTAAAGCCAAAACTTCAATTCCTTGTGTGTCTACATGCATCAAACATGATGCCATATGTGATCCCAAGTGTCACAAGTGATTTCTGGCCATATGACTATCAGGAGTGTGCAACCGCCATAACGAAAAAAGTTGTGTGAGCACCACGGCCAGTTGTGCAATCCCCTGGAGACCCTGAGTGTGAGAAGCACAACTACCGTGTGTCAGACTACAACCAGTGCACATATACCCCACAACAAAAGAGGCAACTCCCTGCACGCAGCCCTGCTGAGTGCACATGACCCCACCACAGCAACAATATCAACAGAGGGAGAGGGATGAGAAACGATGAGAAACTATTTAGAAATAAAAAATAGGATAGAGGGGGAGTTGGAGCCATAGGACAGTGGGTAGGGCGTTTGCCTTGCACACTGTCAACTCAGGTTCGATCCCCAGTATCTCATATGGTTCCCCGAGCGCTGCCAGGAGTAATTCCTGGGTGTAGAGCCAGGAGTGACCCCTGTGCGTTGCCCGGTGTGACCCAAAAAGCTGTCACTGTCACTGTCACTGTCCTCCTGTTGTTCATTGATTTGCTCGAGTGGGCCCAGTAACGTCTTCATTGTGACAATTGTTACTGTGTTTGGCATATCGAATATGTCATGGGGAGCTTGCCAGGCTTTGCCATGCAGGCAAGATACTCTCAGTAGCTTGCCCGGCTCTCTGAGAGGGGCAGAGGAATCGAATTCGGGTCAGCCATGTTGGATGCTTGCAAGGCAAACGTCCGACCTGCTGTGCTATCGCTCCAGCCCAACCCGAAAAGCAAAAAATATAAATTAAAAAATAGGATAGAGCTCTGGAAAGAAAGATGGCGGCGGCACGGGAGCCTTGTGGACAGCCGGTTTGAGACGGGCTCGGCAGGAGCGGCGGGGACCTCATGGGAAGGGGGGCTTTGTGGGCCGTCCCCCACGCCCCACCGAGGTCGCCGGCTGCCCCCCACGAGCGGCTCTCCGCACGGCCACAGCCCCGGAGGCACAAGGACTTAGCACAGGGAACCAGCCGCTAGGAGCAGAAAAGCAAATGGACAATGTGTTAAACAGCGCTACCAAGCCTGCCCGGAGGGGAAAGGGTGTTGACCGGCCCGCCCGCTCCTCTCTGGAAAGAAAGATGGTGGCCGCACGGGCACAGAAACCAATCTCTTAACTATCTAACTTTTAATAGAAATTCTTCCAGGGTCAATAAGTAAAATAGCAGAAATTCAAAACCGCGCGGCCGCTATTGCGGCCGCGCGACATCATTTTTTCCTTAAACCAAGTTGTAGAAAGCAAATCATTTCACAACGCTGTTTCAGCATGTCTGATTGTGGGGGGTGGGTCGTAAACTCTAAACAATAATTGTGCATCTTCTATCGAAACAATCTAGTCAAAGTAGATAGAGTATTAACTAGAACTCATCTGCCTCACAAGAATTGGGAGGGGTGGGGGGAGGTGGGGGTCTATTGGGGTTCGGGGTTAAAAATAAGTATTGGTAAAGGGAAATGTGTTTGATATTTACATGACTGAGACCTAAACCCAAAAGCTCTGTAACTTTTCCCACAGTGATTCAATAAATAAATAAAAAAAAAAATAGGATAGAGGGTCAAAGAGATAGTATTGCAAGTAGGATGCTTGTCCATTTTGCTCTTTGTTTTGGGGCCACACCAGGCAATGCTCAGGGGTTATTCCTGGTTCTGCAATGCAGAATGAATCCTGGAGGTATTCAAGGGACCATATGTGGTGCCAGGGAACAAGCCTCTCTCAGCCCTGTGCAAATCTAGCACTGTACCCCACTGTACTATCTCTTTGCCTCTAGGACACTGTCTTGCATGCAAGCATTCCAGGTTTAAACCACAAAGGATGCCCTAACCCCACCAGAAGTGATCGTGATCCCTGCAGCACACACCTAGGAGGATTAACCCCTGAGCACAACCAGATGCATCTTAAAAACCAATAATTATAATAATAATAAATTTTTTGAAATACAAATAATATTGAAATTTGTACATGTGACGTATTCAATGCCAAACACAGTAACAAGTCTCACGATGGAGACATTACTGGGACCACTCGAGCAAACTGATGAACAACGGGAGGACCGTGATCGTGACCGTTATGAATGTTAATTTTTCTTATAAAACACAAAAACATATAATAAAATTGAAAAGTTTACCCTTTGTAAACTATAAAACTTCTTACCAAGAATGGGGTCAAGGAGAAAGCTTACATGTTTTGCATAAGATAACCACAGTTTGGATCCCTGGCACTGTTATGCCCTGCTTTACTTGCTATTATCTGCTAGAATATTATAGTATAATATAATATAGTTTAAGAAAATATTATCCATACTCAGTTGGACCAAGGAAGAGTTAAAAGTTTGTAAGAGTCAGACCCTAAAAATTTAAGAGCAATTATCTGTGTTGGCTTGCGTATATGCGGAGAATACTGTGTGGATCCCTAAGAGACCCTGGGATGACAACCACCGTGCTAATAAGGGCAGGGAGCACGCCCTGGCCCTGAGCTATGCAAAGAGACAATTTGCTACTGTGAGAGATAAGGCTATAACTAAAGTTAACCTCATTTGTCTGTAAACCCTATGCTGTTTAAAAAATAAGTAAAATTATGGTTCATCTTGCATAATCTTCATTGACACTCTGGAATATAGTTTTAGAGCATAAATGCAACCTCAGTCTTTGAATCGTTTGTTGATGAGTTTGAGCCCCATAACCCATCGAGATCCCTGGGCCCATTGTGATGAAATACACTTCATCCTACTTCCCTTCTGTGTCTCCACTATCTCACTGACTTATGATGAATTTGGGGATAACACCACCAAACAGCAGCCCCCAAGCCCCACCCCACCAGCTTTCCTATAAGTGGCCTATAAGCATTGAGCTGGGAATACCACCAGGTGTAGCCAAAAACAAAAATTAGTACAAAGCAAGAAACTTTTAGAGAATTATATGGGGTTTTATGGAGATAAAACATTTACATGGAGGCATAATGATTGTTGACCCTCTTTTTATGTCAGGAGTCACTTGTGAGTTCAGGTAATCTTGGTCTGATCCCTCCATGACAAGTTTATACATCAGTCTACAATCCAATGTTTTAGAAACTTTTGATTTTGCTTAAGCCCAGGACATTTTATTAGATGCCACAAAATATTAAAATGGACACACACCCTTCCTTCTGATCAGCTAGAACTGCTTTTTGTCTTTCTGGGTTTTTTTGTTTGTTTTTTTTTTTTTTTTTTTGTATAAAGGAGAAGTTAAAAAAGTAACATGGGCTGGGGATATAGCTCAGTCGTAAAACACTTGCCTTGCATGAGTAGGTTCAATTCCCCATGCTGGGGAAAAACTGTGTGTGTGTGTGTGTGTGTGTGTGTGTGTGAACTTCCTCATATAAGCAATCTGGTTACCCTGCAATTCAGTTTGATAGGATGAATGCTTGACTCCTCCCACTTTATAAATTAAGAGCATCCTTTATGATGTATCCCCAGTGTCTAGAGTGTGCTGGCATTGAATAAATTTTTTAGAAATATTTTTGGATGAAGGAAGCGATATTCATAAGATAAAATACAAAGTATTCGGGATTGGAGAGATAGTACTGTGGGTAGGGCAATCGCCTTGCAACTTGACCTGAGTTGGATTCCCAGCACCCCAAATGCCCCCATCTCCGAATCCACCTAATCATAAAGCCAGGAGTAAGTCCTGAGCATTGGTGGGTGTGATCCCAAAAGAAAATGCTAAATATTATTAGGTAGTCAGTATACCCATCCCTTGACTTTGAACTATGTAGGAAGGTATGGACACTCAAATGCCACACTATATTAATGTTTTAAAATGTTAAAGCATAAATTCAAATCAGCTGGAGGGAAAAGGTGCAGTGAACGTTTAACTTACTTTAAAAGTTTATAATAGGCAAACCGGAACAATTCTTGGATACAGACTGAGATGAACATCCCAAAGATTAGCAGATATTTTGGTGCCGGTTCATCTCTGTAGCCAGTAATGAGTCCTACTATGAACCAAAGAAAGGAGGAAACCAGGATAGACACCAACCAGAAGAATGCTCTGAAAATCAGGAAAAAATGAAAGTCACAGGTGAACACAAGTACAGGATTAATAATGATTTAAAAGCAAAAGGAAGTAAAAGACAAAAAAAAAAAGGCGTATGCTTAACAAGGAACAGATTTCCTAGCTTCTGATGGATGGGTGTATTTCCTCTAATGAGATCAGCATGTAGTTCAAGGGCATATGAGGGTTTTTTTCCCTAACAATCACTCTATTTCCTTCACACTATTTGCAAATACATCAGCAAATTTTATCTGCCAAACACGACTTGCTACTCTTCCTAAGCAACGCCTGGCCTGTTGCCCTGCAAATGGTGTTTTTGTTTTTGTTTTTACTAGACAGACGTCTCCATGTCTATTCAGAGTCTAACATCCAGAGGTTGAGACCCTGTGGTTCTGGATGTAGATTGGATTTCTATACGATACAAAATGAAAGTCAGGATGGGAAAGGATGGGAAAGGCAGGCAAGGGTCTAGTTTTACTACGACAAGCTTCGTATTTTTAAAAAACGTGGGGTAAAAAGGGGTTTCCAGATCTGCAAAGCCAGTCTCATCTGTGGCCTGCGGTAGCCTGACGGAGGTGGGGGGTGCGCTGACGCGTCCCCCGGGGGCGGCCGAGAGCCTGACTCGGACGCCCCCGGTCCCCCAGGGGCTGCTTCTCCTGCAAAGACCCAGGTGCGCCCTCCGAGCTATAGCTGCGCCGGCAGCGCGGGGGCGGCGGCGCGGACCAGGCCGGGACCCGCGACGCCCACGACGCCTGCGAGGCTGTCGCGGTCCTAACGGCACTTGCGGCACTTCAGACGCGCATCTCGGGGACTTCTCAAGGACGCGCTATCATGTGGCACTTTCCGGGCGGGGACGCCCCGCAAAGGCGGCCATCTCGGGCCCGCGCCAGGCCGGCTCCCGGCTCTCCCCGCCCCGGGGCGGGGAGGTGGTCAGTCCCGGGGGCGGCGGCCGGACAGGCAGGTGGCGGCGGGGGTCGGCGCCGCGGGCGCCACCGCGCTCCCGAAAGCGACTCCCGGGCAAGTGCTGCGGGGGTCGCCGCGCGCTCCGACCCCGGCGGACACCTGCGAGTCAGCCCCGCGTCCAGCTGGACACCTGCTGGCCCGGCTCGCGGGTTAAGGGCCTGGGCGGCTAGGGACGCAGGCGCGGGTCGAAGGCAAACCCAGGACCCCGGCCGCGTTTCTCCCGCACGATCCGAACGGCTCCGCGGCTCAGCGAAAGCGCCCGACCCTCGGAGGCGAGCGCCGAGCTGGGGTCCCGGCCTCCGGTCGCGGGGCTCGGGGGCTCCTCGCGACCCCCGGAAGGGCGCAGGCCAGGGCCTGTGCTCAGCCCCTCTCTCTCTCCGCCGGAGCCCCCGGAGGCCCAGGCCTGGGGAGCGGACGCCGGGAGCCCCGGAGGGGGAGGGGAGCCCGGGTCCCGACTGCCGGGCGCAACCGCCTCACCCGATGATGAGGAAGATGACGCGCAACGGCTCGGTGGCGATGGTGAAGACGTAGAGGGCGAGCGCAGGCCCGAAGGCAATGAAAGCGCAGCCGAAGAACATGGTCGCCGTCATGGCGACCGCAGAAGCCGGCCTCGGGGCCGGGGAAAAGCCGTGCCCGGGGGTGACAGCAGAGCGCGGGGCCCGCCGAGCCCGGGAGGCCGCCAGCCGAGGCCCCGGGATTAGAGCGAGCCGGGCTAGGGGCGGGGCAAAGAGGCGTAGGGGGTGGCCGAGGAGGCGGGAAGGGCGGGGCCAGGGGCGGGGCAAAGAGGCGGGAGGCCGCCGGGGAGGCGGGAGAAGGCGTGGCTAGGAACGGGGAAATGGGATGGGAGAGCGCAGAGGAGGCGGGAAAGGGCGGGAGGCCGCCGGGGAGGCGGGGCTAGGCTAGGGGCGGGGCAAACGGGTGTCAGCGCAGAGGCTGTCGGAGAGGGCGGGGCTAGGGGCGGGACCAAGAGTTGTCGGGGAACCGAAGAGGCAGGAGAGGGCGGGGCTAGAAAATAGGTTAAAGGCTGCGACAGCGCAGAGGCGGGAGAGGGCGGGGCCCGAGGCGGGGCAAAGGGCTATAAAGGCGGGGCGGGGAGTGGGCGGGGCTAGGGCGGGGCAAATAGGTGAGGGCCAGGCGGAGACGTAACCGGGCGGGGACAGAGGCGGGACTGAAGTGAAGGCAGCCGAGAAGGCGGGCAGAGGGCGGGCCGACTGTGGGCTGAGCAGTGAAGACGCAGAAGAGGCGGTGGCGGGAGGGCGGGGAGAGGGGCGGAGCAAAGGGGTGAGAACTAAGGGTCGGGCGGGCGGGGGCTCGGGGAGGAGCAAAGGGGTGAGGGAAGGAAGAGGGCGGAGCGGGCTTCGCAGCCCAGCTCTGCACCTCCGTCCCCCCCAGTGCTGCAGTATTTGTCGCGACAGGGAGTAGGCTAGTGAGTTTAGGGCGGGACTGGCCGCGGGTCCTCCCGATCACCACCACCTCTGATCCAGTAGCTGAATCCAGCCCGTCTTAGAAGCAGAAGGAAAGATTCCAAGTGAACGGAAGAGAAAACAGGATTTCATTTATAAAGAGGACATTTTGCCTTTTTTGTATTGTTGCAGGGAAGCCCACGCTGGGAGTGGTAACCCAGACAATAACTCACAGAGAAAAAGGACAAATCAGGGTTGTTTTGGTGAGCTGTTTTTCCATGTTCCAAACGGGCAAAGTACAAGTTGCCTTTGACGGCATTCCCTGTGGACCCTATAGTAATAATGACAACGCCCTGCTCGGTTTCACTTGCTCATTCAACTCCCCCACTTAGCCGCCAACCTTGGAAACTGGCAGGGGCTTTGTTTAGTTCTTCGTTGTTTCTGCCACGCCTTGGAGGTGCTAAATAGATGCTAAATGAAATAAATGGAAAAGTGGAACTGACAGTTGCTATTTTATATATTAACCTAACCATTTATTAGGGGGTTATAGTTAAAACAAAAGGTTGTTCATACTTGGGAAATTTTTCTTCATGTAATAATGTCTCGTGGTTCTTTCTGAGTATTGTGCCTCTAGCAGTGAACAGTGAAGTGTTAAACACTTGTGCTTTATTGCTCTTTGTGTGTTGCCAGGATCCAAGTCAGGGCTCGATTCAAGCAGGCATGTTCTGTACTGCTGAGTCACATCTCCCACCAGCAGATCCTATTTCTTCATGACGTTATGTTGTTTGTTCTTTGGGTGACACTGGGTGGTACTCGGGGAACCATGCAGTGCCAGGGCTAGAATTAAGGCCTCCTGTACACAGAGCATAAGCTCAGCCTGTTGAGGTATCTCTCTGGCTCCCTATTTGTTCTTTAATGTCTACTATAAGACAACTACTGATAAATGCTGGGTCTTGACAATGATTTGCAGCATCTCTGAATATGGACATTCAAATAATACAGGTAATCCTTGATTAAGGGAAAAGGTCCTTATGCATACCTATATATGCATAATATCTACACATACTATCTTCCAACACCAGTAATTGCCATTTTAAGTGGACTTATCCAGCTCCTGTTAGGCATCAAGACAGCAGTTCTAAGTGATAGAGTGACTCACCATTGCGTAGATTCTTCAGGTTCTACCCTGAATCAAAGTTATCAAATGGTAAGACACAGATTTTACAAGAGCAAAAATCAACAATGCCACCAAAAAATGGGGAGAAGAGATTAACAGAAAACTTCCTCAAAGAAGAAATGCAAATGGCCAAAAGGCACATGAAAATGTGCTCTGTATCACTATCAGGAAGATGCAAATCAAAACAATAATGAGATAGCATCTCATGCCACACAGTCTGACACATTTCAAAAAAGAATAAGAACAACCAGTGCTGGAACCAGTGCTGGCATGGATGCAGAGAGAAAGGGAGTCTCATTCACTACGAGTAGGAATGTCAACTTTTTTTCCAGCCTTTCTGGAAAATAATATGGACATTCCTTAAAAACCTAGAAATTGAGCTTCTACAGGAGCCCAAAATAGCATTCCTGGGAATATACCCTAGTAGCCCAAAAACACAATGCAGAAAAGTCCATCTGCACTCCAATGTTCATTGCAGCACTATTCACAATAGCCAGAATCTGAAAACAAGTCATATATCAGAACAGATGAGTGGGTAAGAAACTATGGTATATCTCTACACAGTGGAACACTATACAGCAGTTAAGGAAAATGAAATCATGAAATTTGCTTCTACATGCGTGGACATGGAGAGTATCACGCTGAGCAAAATCAATCAGAGAGAGAGGACAATGATTGTATTCATTTGTGGTATTAAAACACACAGTATGTGTAAATACCCAAATACAGTAGAAATAAGGACCAGGAGGATGGGTCCACGGTAGGAAACTTGTCACAAAGGGGGAGGTGAAGGGCAGTTAGGATAGAGAAGGGAGCATTATGACAGTGACAGTTGGAAATGAGCATTATGACAGTGACAGTTGGAAATGATCACTCCAGACAAGAATGAATGCTGAACGGAGGTAAAGTGACATGCACGATATCCTTTCAGTAACACTACTGCAAACCACAGTCCCTACAAATCAGAGACAGAGAAGGGGGATGTCTGCCATAGTGGCAGGCTGCAGAGGCAGGGCTGGGGTTCAGGAGGTAGGCAGGAGGAAAACTGAGAACACTGGTGGCAGGAAATAGGCAGCACTGTATGACTAAAACTCAAATTATGAACAACTTTGTAACTGTATATCTCATGGTGATTCAATTAAAAAACGTTATCAAATGGAATTCCACGCATAAATGTGAGAAAACAGCAACCCCATGTAACCCCTCACACATCCTCTCCAAACCAAATAATAACAAGAATGGAGAACAGAACAACTTCTAAATTACACTTAGCTTTGGCAACATGTTAATTAGGATGACACTTAAGGTCACTGATTCCAAATTAAACACCTACTGTGTGTTAGGCTCCTTACACTGTGGTCAGAAAGATTAAAAACATAGTCCCTGCCCTCCTGGGACTTTGAATCTAGTTGGGAAGAAAAGTGAACAGACAATTCATAGCAGTGCAGTGAGCAACACTTAGGGCAGCGGAGACGAGGAGACGCCTAACCAGAGATGAGTTGTGACTAAGACCCAGGATCCAGGAGAGCACTTCCTATATCTTTATAGCAAAAAGTGGCCGAACATCAACAGAGGAAGCAGCACAAAGGACTGAAAGCTATGTGGTATCCGGGAAGCTGAGATTTGCTGGAAAGGGTTTGAAGCACAGAGTTAAGGTGCGACAAGATTTGACTCTGTAAAAAAAAACGGTTGGATAACCAAGGACTTTGCCAGGCTAACAAAAAGTTTCACCCCAAGGTTCAAGGTATCACCAAAGAATTACATTTGGCAGTGTCATAGACCCACTTTAAAAACCTGACAACTGCCAAAAACTAAGACTAGATTCCTAGCAAGGAGACTGGTCAAAGATAGGCAGAAGCAACTATGAGTGGAGGGTTCAAAGATTATGGGTTAGATTTGAAGGTGGATGAATTCTTTGGGGTTTCATTTAAGCAGATACTGGCACTTTCTACTATAGACAGAAAGAACAGGTTTCTGCTGTCAAGACTGTAAGTTGGTGGAGAGAATTGTTCGCAGAGGGGGTAGGGAAGATGAGAAGGGAAGATGGAGAGCTGAGATGGAGTTTCAGACGTGTTGTTGGAGGTCCTAAGCAGATCTAACAGGCGATGACCAATGAGGCTAATCATCTCTGAGTCTGGTTTGCTGAAAGTAAGTTGGGCCGAGAGGTAAAAACTTGAAAGCTGTATTAGTTTTCTACAGTTGACATCAAAAAATAAAATTTTAAAAAAGATAAAACCTTGGTGGCTTAAACTAACAAAGTCTTGTTCTCTCAATTATGGAAGTCGGAATTAGAAAAAAAATAAGTGGCTATAATCAAGGTATGAGGGCTAGACTGGTTCCTGCTGGGGAAATCCTTCCTATCCCCAGATCCTAGAGATTACCTAGATTCCTTAGCTCATGGCCCTCATTGTTTGTTTATGCTTCTGACTCCTGGGTTAGGTAATCTCAAAGACTTTGGGGATTACATGAGACTCATCTAAAGTATTCAAAATGATCTCCCATCCCTAGACCCTTGTCTTGTTCCTATCTGCAGAGTCCCTTTCTCCATAAGATTAGGACTAGGACATTGGCATATTCAGGTGGCCATTATTCAGCCTACCACACAAGTTATGAGCATCTAAGAGCTATGAAAACAATGAGGATCCCTCAGCTTCTGCCCTGTAAATGGCCCAGCTTCACAGCTTCACAACTAGTCTCAGAAGAGACGCCAAGCTGATGAAACTCACAGGTACACTGGTATTGGGCTGAAAACTCTGGAGTCCTTTCAAGAGTGGGGCGGCAGAGAATCATTTCAGTTCTACAGCTTCTGGAGCTCGCACAGCCATGCAACACCTCCAAATCCCTTAACACTGACAGTGCAGTAGGAGCACAACAGATGAAGTGGTCAAGTAGCACAGACGCCCTCTCAGCTCAGTAAGTGAAAACAGTAATACAAAAGGCTCAACTTGCAACAAACAGCTCAGTAAACCCCCTGTGACTTTAATAACATCATTGTGAGATTAACAACTTTCACAAATTTTCTTTTACTGAATCATTTTTTGGTAACTCACTTGCCATTTTGTTATAATAAGCAATATGAAACAAATTATTTTATGCCTGTG